CCTCCTTTTTCTTTTTTTGGTACTGGGGATCGAACTCAGAACCTTCCGCTTGCGAGGTAAGTGGCGGAACCACTGAGCTAAAATTCCCGGCCCTGTTATTCATTCTTTTAATAAGCAATCAACAACCAGTAAATTACTTAGCCAGTGAATGTAACTCAAAGCTATTTCATACATAAGTATGAGTCATTCTGGCAGCTGGGTAGTTCTTTCCTCCTTCTAGGGTAGAGAACATTCATCTCAAAAGAAAACAGAATAGCTACAAGAACAGACACGCTAACCACAGTTGTCCAGATGTCACAGCTGGACCAACAGCCCAAAGTTTGGTTACTAAGCCTTGCAGGTGGCTCATTCATGTGACTGAGACAAGAGAACCAAGCTGTTCAGACCTATATTCTAAAGCTGAGACCAAGCCAGTCTCCGCAGTACAATCTGCATGAGGTGTGAAGGAAGCTGTATGTACAAAATACGAATGTATGGTATGCTTTTGACATGTGGTCAGTAAAAGCAGAAAACCTGGAGGGTTGTTCATTTTTGTAATTTTAGAGAAAATGTGTAAGACTGCCCTCATTCTAATTAATGACTAACTCTACTTAAAAATTATTTGTTACGCTGGGGGCAGTGGTGCACACTACAATCCCAGCATTCTGGGATGCTGAGACAGGAGCATACCAAGTTCAAGTGCACCCTGGGCAATTACGCAACTTAGTGAGACCCTGTCTAAAAAAAAATAAGCTGGGTTTGTAGTTTAGTGAGAAGGCTCTGCGTTCATTCCCCTATGTCACACATACAAAAACAAACCAAAACATTATTTGTTATGCTCTACATTGAATTTTTGTTATTTTATTTTACTTTTTTGAGACAAGGTCTTACGAAGTTCCCCAGGTTGGTCCTGAACCCATAATTCTCCTGCCTTAGGCTCTCGAGTAGCTAAGATTATAGATTGAGACCACTATGACTGGCTTACATTGACTTTCTTAAGTATTCAAAGGGAATAAAGCCTACTTCATTTTTTTAAGTGTGAAAAACATTCCAGCTTTTCCAGTATTTTTGAGTACTTTACGAAATTTTTCTTTCTCTTTTTCTATGCTGGAGATCAAACCCAGGGCCTCAAGCTTGTATGTACTCTACCACTGAGCTACACCTTCAACACCTGAATCATTTTTTGGGGAGTACTGGGGATCGAACTCGGGACCTTGCACTTGCGAGGCAGGCAGCAGAATCATTGAGCTAAATCCCTGGCCCCTGCTTGAATCACTTTTTAAAAGATAGAGTTTTATCACTAGTATAGGATTTCAAAAAAAGGTGTAGGAACATTTGTTAGTTTGGGGTGCTTTTATTTACTTGGAGATATGATACTTACAGAATTACACACAAATACACAACTTCTGTTTCTAGCTAATGTGCCATTTGCACCACAGAAAAGCACAGGAGAAACAGTTGACCTATGGAAGGTATAAAAGAGGGGAGGGAGGGCCAAAAGAGAAAAGAAAAAAGAAGGAAGAAATGAAACGAGGTGGGGAAGGGAACACAAGGAAGGATAGGAAGTAGGCAGGGGAGAAACTGCAGGACAGCTAGAAGGTCTCAAAGATGGGAGGTTCGGATGGCAGTTATCTAAAAGTTTGAAGAAGGACATGAAGGTTTTTCCATCACAGAAGCTATAAGTAGAAGCAAGATGAATAGATGAGGCAAAGTGCTACATTTAAGTCTTTCAAAAAGCAACACAGCATATCAAAGTTGAATAGTAATTGAAGACATTTAAATAGTGACAAGAAAGAACTGAAAGGAGCCAGTAATATTTGAGTTGCTAACCAACAGGCCTATGCAAAAGGCTTGGTCTATCATGTCACTTAGTTCTAATGTTAATCTTAGTGTATGGTATTGTTAGTTTCTAGTTTAAGGACCAGGTAGCTAAGGCTACAGAACATAAATACCAGATTAAAGATCTCCTATCAGGTAAAGGAGCCAAAGGTTGAACACTGGCAGCCTCCGTTCATTCATTCATTCATTCATTCATCAACACAGTACTACTGAGCTCCCATGTGTCAGTTACTGGGAGTGCCTAGTGAGGAAAACAGTCATAATCCTTAATTTTAAGAGTTTATCCTCTAGTGAAAAAAGCAGTCAATAAACAACTAAACAAACCAGTATTTCATTATAAAATTTTATGCTATGAACAAAATGGCCAGAGTAGTAACAGAATAAAGTGGAGCATTACTAAGTGAACATGGTTAGAGAAATCCAACTGAGACTGAAAGGATGGGAAAGAATCAGTAGTAGAAATAGGAAAAAATATTCATAGAAGAGGGAAGAGGACTTGTAAAGGACCCAAGACAGACCACCATAGCTAGGATCCCATGGACAAGGAGTACGGTAGTACGGGGAGGTCTACAGGGAAATCTACAGGGACTGCTGCAGGTTTGGGGCTTGGGCTTTAAGTGCATTGGGAAGCATGGAATGGTTTTAGATAGACCCCATTAGGGTTTCTGAAAGACCACTCTATTTTCTGTATGAATATGTAATAGGAAGTAAGAGGTAAGGGCAGTAAATGGGAAGATCAGGAAAGAAGAGACATTTGCAGGGTTCCAGTGGTCACACGGAAAGAGGGGATGGCAGGGGAGACAAAGGGAATGGACCTCAGAAAAGATCTGAGCTGTATTTTGGTGGCAGAAACCAGATGCCTTGCTGATAACACTGGATATGACAGTGACGGGGGTGTCTCGGAATCTTTTGTGCAGCTCTAAGAGTTGTACATCATTTGATTTTCATAGTATATTTCTTATAATGCAAAGTTAGCTGTATTTATCACATCATTTTAAATGATGTATATTTTGATAAGTAGTTCACAGGCTAAAATCTCCATGTGTACACTGCTAAGCTCCTCTTGTTGTAACACGTGCTCTGAGGTACACTGTCTAGGAAGAGACACACCTTAGATGTGATGTGGAGGAAAGAAAGAAGGTTTTTCACACAAACTACCTAGGGGTGAATTGCAGCTTTGCTACTTTGCGGGTCTATAGAAAGAAATCACAACTTTGAGATTCAAACTTAGTGTACACAGGTAAAGATTCTCTCACAGTTCTGCTGGGAGAATTCAGTATCTTATAGTAAGTCCCAGAATACAGTAGGTAGTCAATAAATGGTAAGATTCTCGCTCTCCTTTTTCCCTCCTCTTTTCTTTCCTTCTCATTACAGTGACAAGCCATCAATTCTTAAGTGTCTCTCTACCAGAATACAGAGTACTCTGTACAGACAGAGTATATGGCTGTGTTACATGTAACATAATGGGGATACACTTTTGGTTTGAGTCCTAAAGGGTACTCACATGAAAGTTATATTTAATACATAAATTCTAATTCTGTAATAACCTCACCTCCTGACCAGAAGGGCTGTCAGATAAAATACAGAACATTCATTAAGTCTGGGTTTCACATAAACAGAAAATTTGTAAGTGCAGTGTATCCCACACAATATTTGAGGCATAGTTATACTAAATTTTTTACCATCTTAAGTTCAAATTTAATTGGGTACCTGGGTTTTTATTTGCTAAATCTGGCAACTTTATGACTAGGCAAGTCTCTACTAGGAATAAATTATTCCAGGATTCTTCCTTCATAGCCCTGTGAGATGCTAACTCTTCACTGTGTAAGACATTACATCTCTCACCATCATGATATTACACTTTCACTCCTACTCTCTGAATATTTCAGCCATCACTTCTTACTCCTACCAATAAACATACAATGCCCAAAGTCTATTGAGTGGTTCTGTATCAGACATGAAATTTTACTTAGTGGTCACACAGAATGCTGGCGCATGCATGCGTGTGCATGGGTGAGTATGGGGGTGTGTGCACCTGCTGCATTAAGCTTTTTTTTTTTTGGTACCAGGAATTGAACTCGGGTCCTTGTGCTTGTGAGGCAGGAGGAGGAATGTGCTAAGCTTTTAAAAAGATTATGCTAACAATACATTACTGGGAATACATTTTGAGAATTTTCTCATAGTAGCGAATTAGATTCCCATCCACATTAAAAAAAGCTATTTAGATCCTATAGAGGTAGAACCAGTTACTGAATAAACTGAAAGAGAAAAGCTTTGAGTTCACAAAATAATCACTGTCTAGGAAGGTTAAGATTTTGTGAATCCTTCATTAAAATCAGACCATATGAAAAGAATGTGAAAGTGCCAGCCACCAGTTTTTTTGAACATACTCAAGTGTTTCAATTTCTGGTTTCACTACTAAGGAAAAAAAATTAAAGGAAATATAAGTATAGTTAATTGTATGAAATACCCAGAGCATTATTTACTACAGTACTTGCTATTGTTCCACAACAAGATAAAGAACTTGCTTGCTCCAGAATGAAATTCAACACACTGAGGAAGTTTTGCTCTTGTTTTTGTTTTGTTTTTTTGAGGCAAGGTCTTGCTTTGTAGTTCAGGCTGGCTCTGAACTCACCATGTAGCCCAGGCTGGCCTTGAACTCTTGACGGTCCTCCTACCTCAGCCTCCCAAGTGCTCGGACTACAGGCATCCACCACCACACCTAGCAAGAAGTTTTTCTCTTAAACAACTGTCAGTTGAACTAATAAAGTATTTAATAGTGTAGTTTTTTTTAACCCTGGTGGAAGTTCATTTTCTCATTGTGCCCTGGAAATAAAAAATTCATTGGGGCCGCCTGCCTTGCAAGCAGAAGGTCCCAAGTTCCATCCCTGGTACCATAAAAAAAAAAAATTCATTGACTTATAATGCCAGTCTGTGAACCACATTTTGTTTGAGTAGCACCTATGTATATAGAAAACTCCAGAATTTTATACAATGTACCTTCAATATGATGGTAAAAATGGAGGGCCCTCCTTTTTCTGGCCATTTGCTGATCAAAGGTCTTTCTATTTCACCAAAATAAAGGCATATTATTTTCTCCACTCTTAACAATCCAATTAAATCTAAATATCTATTAAAACACTAGCTGCCCCAGTTTTAGAAAGAAGAGGATGTGTGCTTACTCTTCTTGACGTAAGTCATTGACGCTGCGGTCCAGTGAGATCATGTCACTTGCCACCATGTTAAATCCAAATTCTTTAATGCTGGCTTGAACTGCATGTTTGAATTCTGGTCCCAAAACCAATGGCTTGGCTTCTTCTCCAGGGCCACCAACCACTCCTTGAGGCTCAGGTTCTTTAGGTTCAAAGTTACCGAGGATCCCTGGGCGTAGCACAGGATCACGGTAGGTGAATGTCTGTGGCTTAAATGTGAGATACTGCCTCTGCATTATGTCTTTTTGGGAATCTCCTCCAGCATGGTGCTCCTGTTCATTTTTGGCCTTGTTTTTTCTTCTAATAGACTCTAAGTCCACTTCTACTCCTTCCACATGAGGCCATGGCACCACAGGTTTGAATCTGTCATCCCCAGGAGCTAGTCCATTGCCTCCTCGGTTAGGTATGGGGTTATTGACATCTCTGTCTTCCTATACAAAAGGGAGGGGGATATACAGTAAGTACATAAAGGCAAACCACCACAGTAGAGTTTATGATATAAATATTTATGTTTTCTAAAAAGCTGAGGCAAAAATGAAACAGTTTAAAACGTGAAATACAAGCAGGTCATCAGTCAGAAGTTCTCATTAGAAGATGTATTCTAGAGTTCTTCATCTTACTATTCCAAAATACTTGAATGGATACATTTTTAACTTATTTTTATAAATGTAACTCTCTATCAAAGATCAATAATATACATCATCAAGGGTTAGAGAAATGAGCTTCTAGGATATTTGATCAAAACACTTAATAGTTCATGTTGTACACAGTCATCTGGTGTATGACAAATAGAACCTTTTGTCAGCAATGCTGCCATACAGTGGCAGTGACATTGGATGGGTATCACCATCATTCAGGGGTTTTGTGCCCCAAGTGGAAGAGGGACAAGGTGGGAATATGCACTCAACAGGCCCAATTCACAGGGTTTTCATTTGGTGAGAATTTAGCTGAATTCAGTACTGTGCCAAACTCTAATAACTGTAACCAGTCAGCTTGGGTTTTTAAATGACATCTAATACCTAGTTTGCCCCATCCCAGGGCAGCATGGGTAAAACCAGATTCTTCATATATGGATATTCAGTAAAGGGTACCCAGCCTTCTTTAAATCTGGAGCCTCTTCATTACTTCTGGAGAATATTCCATCAAAAATCCTGAACGCTTTTGTTTTTGATGTATAGGACATTTATTTTTTTGCTAAACCGGTACCACTCTTTTCATAAAGCAATGTTTTTCTATATTAGTATCACTTTAGTGGATCTTTAAACATATTGATGTCTCTGTGTGTTTTTCTCAGACACTGATTTAATTGGTCTGGGCATTTGAATTTTTTAAAAGTACTCTAGGTCATCGTAGGCATCTAAGCCTGAGAACTACTAGCTTAAAGGGAGAGCTGCCAGCTATAATTAGACATGGAAGTTATGGAGTATCTACAGCTGGAGAAGAGGTTAGGAAAGCGGAGAAGAACTGAAAAATAGGAAAACAAGTCTGCTCCTCACTCCACACTAAGATTATATGATTCCTTAAGAGGTTACTAATAGAGTCAGCACCATCTGAGCATCATTTTTCTACCATGGTGTAACTACCTAGGAAAGTAAAATTTAAAAACTTTTCAAGAACACAGAACTAAAGCTTTAAGTACAATGTTATACTGGCAGTTTATTTAGAGACAAAAGTTTCTATTGAAAGTTATTTCAGAAGAGAATTTAGTGAGTGTGAAATGGCTAAGGACTGATTTTAGAGAATTCAAAAAGGGATTCTGAAAAATTATATATTTATTCCAAAGATATAAGCATATAACACAAAATTCAAAAGATCCAAAGGCCATGAAATGCATGCACTAGATTTTTAAATTAATTATTAAAAAGGAAACTGATAAGATGGTACAAATGGTTCAAAGACAAATCCAAGTTACAGACAAACAAACATAATACTAATTTACAAACAGATGTTGAACTGGTCAATACTCGTAGGGTAATAATAAAATCATTTTATCAAATACAATTTCCTTTTGCATTACTAACAGTTTTCTATAATTTACAGGATTATAAAATAGCCCAAAGATAATGAAAATGTGCAAGAACCTGGGAAGTTGAGTCAGATAACATACCCAGTCTTTTTGGGGGACATTTCAAATTTCTATGCAATTTCCCCCATATGCTATAACACTGTAAGATACAACACAGCCTAACAGTATAATCATGATGGCTTTCTTCAGCCACATGCGTGAAGGTGAGGCTTCTGGATCAGGCTTCTTATTGTTGCACACCTGAGTAAGCAAGGGCTTATTATGAACCTAACCTGTGAGCCCTGCTAAGGTCAGAGTAGAAAGTTATCTTGCCAGAAATCTTACATTCACGAGGGACTAAGGATTTTTTTAGGAAATAACTAATCCTCAAAAAACTATATGCTCAGCATCGAAACTGCAGAGAGTCTGAAGACAGAAAGTGTCTGTTTCTCCAATTTATCTCCTGGCTCTTCCCCAACTCAGACTTACTTATGGTAGTGTTGTAAGTGAATTAAAATAGAGAGATCAAGATACTGGACCCAAGTTGTTGATATTGAACTACACATAGCACACAAAGAAGAAAAGACATTTCCTCCAACTATGGGTTTTTACTTTACGGGCTCCAGTGAACTGGTAAACAGGGAGGTAAAAAATGAGGGGCAAAGAACTGTCGCTGAATACATACCAGTAGTTTGAACAGGGCATCAGACATCAACGTCCACTAAATTATCCAATGTTCCACCAGGGAAAAACTATACTAGAATAATACATGAAATCAGCTACCCATACATGCTATCCTTTATGTTGGCCTATGCTAATATAAAAATTGCAAATTTAAATACTTCTCAAATTCACTTACTTCAATAAGAGAAGTTTTATTGAACACAAAGTACATGCATATCCTCCACTAAAATTGCGTCTTTCTTCTGACTTAATGATTCTTTGTCCAACCTTAAGCTGTTGATGTTCTCAGGTTCTATGAGAATTCTATTTGTTATTCCATCCCATTCTAGGTTACTGCATTTTCTTCAAAGCCCAGTGACTGGTTGCTCACATCCATTTAACAATCCATACCACATTTCTGATCCCTGGACCTCACAGTCAAGTCAACGGCTTCCTGAACATTTCTATTTACATCTCTCTGGCACCTAAATGTAGCATACTTGAAACTGAACCTATCATTCATTCACCCTACATCATCTATTTTATTTACTGTCTTCCCTACTTCAGAGACAGGAACCATCATCCACCCAACTGATCAAGTCCAAATCCTATATTCATCTTCAACTTCTTGTTCTGCCTACCCCACTGACATTCAATTCATCATGAATTTCTATCAGTTCTGTCTCCTGGCCAGTGCCTGAATTTGACCACTTCCATTACTGTCACTGCCACTGCTTGAATTTGGGCTACTCTTACCTCTAAACAGGATTACTACAATAGTCATAATAGTGATGACTGTAAACCCTATGTCCCAAATGCTTCACATATATTAACTTATTTCATCCCATAAGTTAGGTTCTGTGATTATTATACAGATAGAAAATCTGACAGAGAAATTACCTGAGAAAATCTGACAGAGAAGTTACCTGAGGTCAGAATGTCTATATAATAGAGCCAAAATTTGAATCCAGATAGGTGGCTCAAGCATCCCTCCCCTTAATCACTATACCTTAGTGCTTCTTATCCTAATATATATACTTTTTCTTCATTTTTCTACATCTGTAGGGATTGTCCAAAATTAAAATATAAGCATGTTAACTTTCCCTGGTTATAACATTCCAACAATGGCCCACTGTCTTCAGGAGAGTTTGTTCCTTACAGGATGCATCAGGCTTTCCAGGCTCCAGCTGGAATTTCTGTAATGTCCCCATGTGAATCAAGAGGGCAGGGGTCAACTAATTTGAAAAGGGGTAAGTATTAAACATTTTTGGCTTTGCAGACCTCAAGTTCTCTGCTAAAATTATTTATTTGCCACTGTAGTTGGAAAACAGCCATAGACAATATATAAATGAACAAATATGGCTGCTTTCAATAAAACTTTATATACAAAGACAGGTGGATTTGGCCTTCATCCCCTGCACTAGACCATAGGCACCACTGCAATCCCAATGCTTATCCTGGCAGGTAATTCCTCAGTAAATATTTACTAAATATATGAATGAGTCTAACATCTCTGCTTGGAGGTAAAAGACTATGAGAAGAAAAGAGAACAGAGAATATGAAATGGGAGAGAGGGACTTATATCAGATATTTATTGGGAATACCTAAGAATTCACCAGGAACATAAGTATTCTCTGCATGGTATTTTACTTGAAACAATGACATATAACAGCGCCAGAAAAACTGAATTTTCTTACTTCTCTAAGCCTGTATGCCATTAAATCGGAAAGCAGAATCAAATACTAGAACTGTCTGCCTAACTCCAAGTCAGTTAAGAATAATCATGTCAAATCTTAGTATTATATGATTCAAAGAATGGCTAAAAAGTATAATACTTAATTTCCCTGAGAAGGAAAACTTCAAACTCCTTCTTCCTGAGAGTACATGAGAATTAGTAAATGCCTTTGTGACTCACTGGCACTATGATACTTTCATAAGCAGCAGCTGATTTACTGTACAGCCGAAATCAGTGAATCACTGTTGACTAGAAATGGAAAAGAGAATCAGTAGGGAACTTTCCAAGATCATTATGTTCATAAAAGAAGAAATACACTGAAAACATAATCACATATCATCAGATGGTAATAGAAAATATCAGAAATAAGGTCAGGCTAGTAACTATCCGCCTTACCACTTACAGAGTACTCTCTACCCCATACTTCCAAATCCTACTTATGTGCACTATTTTTCCAAGATGTTCATGCTTTGGCAGAAATTATATGAATCCAGAAGAATTTAGAAAAATTATCTTTAGGGGCGGGGATTTAGCTCAGTGGCACTGTGCCTGCCTCACAAGTGCAAGGTCATGAGTTCGATCCCCGGTACCAAAAAAGGAAAAAAGAAAAGGAAAAACTATCTTTAGTGCAAATGGTAGTGATACAGGCATATTGGGATTTGGAGTCCGGGGACCCTAGAAAACTACATTCATAATGATGAGCTTACCTAGTCACATGATCTCTTGAGAAATTACAACTTGGGAATGGCTACAACTACTTGGTTATCATTCTTCATGTGTCACAGAATTTAAAGGTACAACAAGATAAATTTCATTCTATGATTTAAAACCTTTCTGATCAAAGACACTTTTAGTAAGAAAATTCATAGCCTATCCTTTTTCTGGCTGTACCTAGGAGATGAAGAAAGAAAAGCAGAAAGGGAAGTTGTTAAAATAAAGCAGACACCAGAAGTCCAGGGGAAATAAGGTGTGCACTAGGGAAGCACTCCTCAGGCTCTCACCAACTGTAGTGGGATGTGGGTGGGAAT